TATGCAGCCTAGAACTGTGTTGGCTTTTTTGGCAGCTGCTGCACATGGCTGGCTCCTATTTAAATAGTTGTCCACTAGGTCCTAGGACTCCAAGATCCTTTTCACAGTTACTACTATTGAGCAAGTTACCACCTATACTGTACCTGTGCATTTCATTTTTCTTGCCTAAATGTAGAACCTTAATTTTTGCACCATGGAATTGTTAGAAGCAGGAGGGAGCCCCACAACTAGTTTAGGGTTGAAAGGGAAAGCCAGCTCAGTAGAAGGAAAGCACGCACTGCAGACCTCCGTGTAAAGAGGGGGCTGCTCCGTTTGGCACAACGCCCCCCACCCCTCTTAGCACAGCGACAGGATGAGACGGTGATGGTGGTGGCATAGTTTGGGTCCAGAGAAGAGCTAGGAGCAGCAGAAAGGCGTCCCTCCCTGCCTTCAGACCAAGGAGAGAGCCGCCACGTCTCTCCTTCAAGCAGCAGCGCAGAGCCAAGGCGCTAGTGCTGGCGGAGGAAAAAGGGGGCGGAGATGGTGTGTAGCAGGGAGAGGGCCGAACCGGCACCTGCTCCGATGCTGAGATGGGAGGAGACGCTGAGACTCGCCCGACCCTACCAGGGCAGCCCTGCCTAGCCAAGCCGCTAGTTCTGCGCGAGGAGGAGGAGGAGACGCAGCCCGCGGCTTCATCGGCTTTGCCCTCGATTCCGCAGTGCTCACTCACCCGGTGCCGCTGTCTACGACGCAGGGCGGCAGGCGGCTCGCCATGCTCGGCGCTGGGATCTGGCAGGAGGGGAAGCCAGTTCCCGAACCGATTCCCGGGGATCCCCGCCGCCGCCGCAGCTACGAGCAACCGGGCAGCGCCGCGCGCTTGCGCCCAACCCCGGTGCCCACGTGTGCGGCGTGCCAAGGCTGCCCCGGCGGCCATCTTGGGAGGTGGCACCGCTGGGTGGTGGTTACCCAGCCGCTTCCCAGGGTGAGGAAGCCCGAGTTGGGGGAGGGGGGAGAAACAGCTGGGCGCCTCTAAAAGCAAGAAATCGTCTGCTGAAAGCCCTTGGCGGCTCGTCTTACAGCTTGCCAAAAAGGACTCGACTCCTGCTGATTTCAAGATTGTCAAATATATCTTATAATATTGCCCTAACCTTAGCAATGTGCTGTATAGAATAGAATAGAACAGACTAGAACAGAACAGAAGAATAGAACACAACAGAAGAATGGAATGGAAGAGAAGAATAAAATAGAGCAGAAGAATGGAATGGAAGAGAAAAATAGAATAAAACAACAGAATAGAAGAACTGAATAGAACAGAAAAATGGAATGGAAGAGTAGAACAGAAGAATGGAGTGGAAAAGAAGAACAGAAGAATAGAATAGAACAGAAGAATGGAGTGGAAGAGAAGAATAGAACAGAATAGAAAAGAACAGAAGAATGGAATGAAAGAGAAGAGAATTCTTCATTGGCCAAGTGTGAGGAATTTGTCTCTGGTGCAGATGCTCTCAGTGTACATAAAAAAAGAAAAAAAATACATTCATCAAGAATCCTTGGTGCATTTTATTATTGGAAAAGGTCAGTTTGGTGTGCCGTTAAAGGCATCAGGCAGAAACCAGGAGACTCTAAATTCACCATGTTGTCAAGTGAGTCACTTTCTCTTTGTCCTAGGCAAAAGACAAGGGAAAACAATCCCCCAAAAATTGTGGCCAAAAAATCGCAGGGACTTATTTCTGAGGTTACCAAAAAGGAACTTAATGGCTTATTGTTGTTGCATTGCTTTTATATATTGTTTAGCATTTCCTTGAGTGAAGTGTTTAATAAATTAATATTGATAAAATGAAATCGCAATGCAAGCTGTTAAATGCAGTTAATCCTCAACTTACAACCACAGTTGAGCCCAAAATTTCTGTCCTTAAATGAGGTATTCGTTAATGAGTTTTGCCCCATTTTTATGACCTTTCCTCCCACAAGTGTTAAGTGAACCATATGGGTCATAAATATGAATCAGTTTTGTCAAGCATCTCAATTTTCATCACATGGTCAGTGGTTCAAATTGCGAAGGTCATAACTGAAAAACGGTTCATAAGTCACATTTTTCAATGCCATTGTAATTTTGAACAGTCACTAAATGAACTGTTGTAAGTTGAGGACTACCTATATTGTAGTTCAGATTCCAGATTCCAAAATACTTTCAGAACCACATTAGGAATTTAATGTCATGGGTCAGTGATGGCTAACCTTTTCCCGACCGAGTACCCAAAGCGCATGGCCAAACTTCCAAAATGCAATGCACATGCAGCTTTCCCCTCGCATATGCCGCCCTGCGTGTGTCCCGCTCCTGTGCATGCGTGCATGCCCCCACCCTTCCGCATCCCCTTCCCCCCGGTGCATGCGAGCACGCTCTTCCCCCCCACACACACACTGGCCCTGCCTCCTGCACATACATGGCATAGACCCAAAGACCAGCTGACTGGTGGGAGGTGCGTGCGCATGCGCAGCAGAACTGAACTGGGGCCAACTCTGGCACGCATGCCGTAGGTTTGCCATCATGGTCATAGGTGTTCTCTTTGGAAGTGGAAAATCAGCATAGAAATCTGGAGGGCTGCTAAGTTGGAAATGAATCACTTTGCTGAGAGGTGGGGGTTTCCCACACAGAGATGAACATGTCATAGAAATGGAATTTCATTGGATCTAGTCTTCCCATATTGCAAAAGACGGGGAATACCAAAGAGTGGCTATATAAGAAGATTTGTGGAGAAAATACTATATAGATGCAGAGCTAAGATGAAATACTGAAACGAGACCCAGTTTTTCTTTTGAAACAGCCCTTACTGGTAAAACAAAGAACAGCTAATCCAGTACCCCAACCTTGCTTTTATCTGCTCCATACTTTGCAGGCTGAGCTTTTTAAGATACAGGAAAACAGCTGGATCATATACATATCATTGAAATTATATCTTGGCAATGACAAAAGGCCAGATTGTTGTGGAAAAGGCAGGGCCCTTTTCTGAGGGGTGAATAAAGTCTAGATCCCATCACACACTTTGTGACTTCAGTCATGCAATAATTTGTGGCCATTTTGGATCCACCCAATTCTTATTTTCATAATATTGGGGCTAAGATCTGAATTTGAGAAGAGCTCTGTGTTTGTGTGTGTGTGTGTATGTGTGTGTGTGTGATAGATCTTTGTGTCAATATGCCAAAACCTCCCAACCGATCCCTCTGAAAATGAGTAATATCTCTGTTGATTTATGCCTCCATTTGATAAATGTTAAAACGCAGAGAAGATGAGAGAGAAATATGTGGTCCACTGAAGAAGTTTACAGAAAGAATATTTACCACAGTCAGCATCTGTAAATTCTATGATTAAAATTGAAAAAACAGGCCAGAGGAAATGGGAAATTACGTGTTTCCATGTTGCCTCGGAGAAAACTGGAAGGGCACACTCACGACGTCACTAACAACAGAGGTTTTAAGTAGTTCTGCTCCATCGTTTGCAGAATATTGGACGTCTCTGGATGAAATGAAACCGATTCCTCCTTTATCAAACAGATATGATGTCATCTTAGGGAAGCCACAGGCCTGTGCTCATCTTTTTCTATAAGTCCAGGTTAAGGATTAGGTTTAGGTTTAGGGGGGTTAGGTTTAGGTTTAGTGGTTAATTTTAGGTTTAGCGTTTACAGCGTGCTTCTGTCTCCGCGCTGTTGTCGCCCTGTGATGACGTCAGCTACGCGGTTTCGTCGAGCGCGCTTTAGTCGAACGCGGTTTTGTGGTGGAACCATAGATAGTTAGTCCTCAGTTCACAACCATTTATTTTATGACCCTTTGAGATTACCATAGGGCTGAAAAAGTCCAGTCCTCACACTTAACAACTTGTCTTTGCACTTAAGGCAATTGCCACCACCCCCGTTGTCATGCGATTCCAATTTGACTTTTATTGCAATGGCTGCTAAGGCGGTTATCGCTATCATTAAGCAAATGACCTCAGGATACAGCCACTGGTTGTCAATGAAAGCCAGTTGTCAATTACCAACTGGCTTGCATTTGCAACTGGTCACAGTGTCCTTAATGAAAGCGGGGTTCCCTTAACGGCCATGGCAATAATAGTCATAAAAAGGGTATGAATGCAATTTATAACAACTTACAATGGAAATTCTGGTATCACTTGTCATAAGTCCAGGACTACCTATATGCCCTACTTCTTCGCTTTCAGGTTAACTACTGAGAAATCTGCCAAATGGATAAACTGGGCCACAAGTTGAATAAACAAAGATGATCTTTAAAAAGAACATTTGCCATAATTAATATAGCGGCTAAATATGATTTGTTGTAAGAAGGCAAGCAGAACTAGAGTAACTGATTACACAAGTCAATTTATCTTCTCAGACCTGTCCTTTAAAGCAAGCTAGGTTCAGAGAGTCCTCGACTTACAACCTTTCATTTAGTGACCAAAGTTATAACAATATTAAAAAAGTGATTTACAACTGGTATTTACATCTGTTACATCCCATGGCCACATGATCATAATTCCTATGCTTCACAACCCACATGTGTTTTATTTACGAAGGTTGCACGCGGGGTCATGTGATCAACATTTGTGACCTTCCCAGCTGACTTTCAACAAGCAAAGCCAATGGGGGAAGGCCGATTCGCTTAGCGACTGCATGATTCAATTAACAACTGCAGTGATTTGCGTAACAATTTTAAAAAGATCTAAAATTGGACGCAACTTAACTTGATTAGTCTTGTTGAGTAATGGAATTGTGGTCCCAATTGTTGTCATAAGTCAAGGACTATCCATAGAGGGATGTTTGATTCCTGGACATATCCTTGTAGTTTTCTTGGCTGTAATTTATGTAGAACTTTTCAAAATAGAAAGTTAGTATTTGATCCCAGCAATTCATATGCTACAATCAGGAATGTGTGCAGCGTGTGGATAAAAAAACGCGCATGAAAACCAGACAGAACTTTGATTAAACCATTGCAACTTCCATCTTCACTTTTTGACCAGGTCCTGCTGAAATCTTTGGCCACGATGTCTCTCTGTTTCTCACCCTCCCTCCCTTGTTTTGCATTAATATTCATAAGGCTTAAATAATTGATTGCAAAAAGAATTCTGGAGTAGCATTCGTTTTACATCAAGCACAAAACCATTTGCAAATGGACTCAGGCCACAGTCCAAAACAACCATCAAAAAGTCTGTTGAATATTGGAGAGAACATTTTACCATGTGATACGTGGTAAATTATAAGTAAGGCAAAGGTTTCCCTCGCACATAAGTGCTAGTCATTCCCAACTCCAGGGGGCGGTGCTTATTTCCGTTTCAAAGCCAAAGAGCCAGCGCTATCCGAAGCCGACTCTCTGGTCGTGTGGCTGGCATGAGTAAACGCTGAAGGCGCACGGAATGCTGTTACCTTCCCACCAAAGGTAGTTCCTATTTTGCTACTTGCATTTTAACATGCTTTTGAACTGCTAAGTTGGCAGAAGCTGGGACAAGTAATGGGAGCTCACTCTGTTACGCGTCGCTGGGGATTCGAACCGCCGAACTGCCGACCTTTCTGATCGACAAGCTCAGCGTTATAAGTAGAAAGACAATATTTTTAACTGGAAATCAAAACATTCTTCTTCTGTACATATCTGTTTGATTCAATACAAGAAGTGCTTGAATGATTATCACAAATGGGCCCAAAATTTCTGTTGCTAAGTAAGGCACTTGTTAACTGAGTTTTTCCCCATTTTACAATCTTTCTGGCTACAATTGTTAAGCGAATCACTGCAGTTGTTAAATGTGAAAGTGAAATGTGCAGTCATTAAGAAAATCTGGCTTCTGCCATTGACTTTATTCATTGGAAGCTAGCTGGGAAGGTTTA